AGCCAGGGCTGGCCGCTAATGAGAATTTTGCCGAAAGTTTAATTGGCTCTATCATAATTTTGTACGACGCGATCAAGTCGCGGTTTAATCAAGCCGCGCTTCATTACCGCAAGATTCATGCCTGCATTCGTCTTTCTGGATTTACTCTCGCCTTTCGGATTCATTATCTATAGGTGGTGACGGTGGCGCCGTTGTCACTGCCAATTAACCCGTGGCTTCGTTTTGCCAAAAATTTCCGTCGCTTTTTAGTTACAATTACAACGGTCGTTACTTATACTATTCGTATTTTTCGTTAACTCTTTACAGGGAAAATTTTATTGTAAAAATTACTATATAGGACTTTGTATCCGAGGAATAGATCGATATTCTTCACTAATTCATTATCCTTTGCTTTCACATATACTACTTACATATTTTAAAGTCTGAAATATACTATTAAAACACTTGCTATGTTTCTAGCAAAACTTGCTATATTCTTAGTAAGACAGACTTTACTTATATTATTTATTTTTCTAGATTATTAAAAGTATAATAAAATTGAAAAGAATTTATATGAAAGAAGAAACTAATATTTTCTCCGTGTTATTATTCTACAAGATGCGATATTCTCAGTATATTCTCAGTCCTGCAGTATTTCATATTATTGCCTTATATTATTCGCGCCATTTTGTAATTGCTAATTTATAGATAAATAAATTTTTGGATGGATTCATATTTTGACTTTCTTCTTATTTGCTTTCCACAAAGCGTAAACGTGAATACACGAACGATTTTGTGGGAAAATATCATACACTACGAATCGTTATGCCAACACTATCGGTTTGCATAATTGCAATATCCGATACTAGCGACGATTAAAAAATTAAATCTTTGGGCTCATGGCGAACATATTGATTTTTGTCCAATCGGCAAATGGAAATATTCTGTAGGGTGCTTATCCGTAAGCGGCTTTCCCCGCGATTCTAAAAACAGAACGTGCAGTAGATGGAAGCAAGATAAACCGGTATCTTTATTGTGGCCGCGTAGCATCCATGAGGAGGCATTGTTTCCGTGGTTTCTCTATTGGAAAGTAATTGCGAGAATAGTACGATTATCGCTTCGCATAGAGAGGCGTACTACATACCGCGTACATATTCTAAGGGCTTTCGGTTTACGGGCAACGGAAATATGGCGCGTTCTTATTGATCGTACCCAGGCGGCTCGGATAATTTCGAGTTGACGTAAAATATTGCTTGCGAAATATCATTTCTCTCTGTGGTATACTATGGTATACTATCGCTACTATGATGCATGTAGCGCTGACATCACAAAATACGCGTATATACTTGCAATATTTCATATATATTCGTAATTCAATGTATTTAGTTAATCTATAATTTAATATATATATATATATATATATATATATATATATATATATATATATATATATATATTTATAACAAGAGAAAAAGGTCGCAGTATGTTTTATTTTATACCAGTATTTTATATAGGAATTATATAGTTTTATATAGGAATAAAAAAGCGAAAAACATATTGAACTCGAAAATAGCGTTATTTTTGTATTCTTTTTAGCTAGAACGTAAAATAAATACACTACAGATGAAAAATATACACGCGGTTGTATTGGAGTCGTATGATAAAATGCTGTTTTATGAAAGATACTTATATATAGTAATACAAAATATCTCGATTGATCTTATATCCGATAGTCTATTAAAGACACATAAAATTAAGTCAAAAGCAAAATTGAGATAAATTAGCTTTATATAGTCGAGGCTGTTTGAATGAAATTACTTCGAAAATATGCAGATTTGCAAAGATAGAATTTAACGCATATTATTGCCTGCTTTGTTTCTCTTTCGAATGCATACATCAGGTTACGGTCTTCCCGAATAAAAATTTATACACAAAAAGCGGATGTAAAATTTCGCAGAAGTGCTGTGCCCAGTGCTGTGTCCAGTGCTATGTAATTAAAAAATTACACAGCCCAAAAAACTGTTTATGTGATTTGCAACTTGATAAATGTCGGAATGAACGAACAATTCATTTAGTAAAAAATGTACTTTTAACTAAAGAATCTCATAATTCTGCTCTACAGGCGGTATTATCTGTAAATATCGTCTCCCGGAAGGATTGTAATTTTTAGATTAAACATTAAGAAGTTGAAGTGTTACAATTAGATATCGTATGATTAAATATCGAGGCAATGTAATTCGCAGTAGTTATCGGCCGTGACGAGAGAAGCGCGTCTTTGAATGAAATAAATGGCGCCATTGATCAAAATTGAGCGAATCGATGCTTCAAGCGTAAAAATTTGATCGTGGGCAAGTGACATATTCCTAGAACGCGGGAAACGAACGAGCAAGAATAATGGAGGAGCTCGTTCGTCGCGGGTTGTCGATCACGGATTACAGCTCGATGCACGATGCGCGGGTTCGCGGAGTTTTTGGCGCGTTTTCCCGCGGCGAAACGAACTTTCCTTGTCCTCGATCCTGAATGATGCGGCGAAGTTTTCGGGCAGCTGGATGGACGGATGAACTGGGCGCGGGAGAAAGAAATTCGAAGCCGCAAAAGGAACCGCGAGTCAGTTCCAAGACTGTATCCTTTTCACGTAAAGCACGCAGTCTTAATTTATTCAAACCTTTGAGTAATTAAACCCAGCGCACTGCATGTCCGTCTCGATCTCTATCCCCTTTAATCTATTTCAGCTCGCCCTATCTGGGAAGTTCGTTTGTAAAATTGAACACGATCAAAAGAAGAGAAAAAAGAAACGGCAGACGAAGAAAAGCGCGACTAACAACAAAAGTCGTACAGTTCTTTTTGTCTTAAAAAGAGCGTGTTGTCTCATTGTTGTTTGTTTTCCGCGATGCCGATTAGATATCTTGATCTTCATTGCAACCTCGATCAGTTGCTTACTTCGCGACGGTTATTACGAGTGGATATCATCGCGTAAATTATGCATTTGAACAGTTTGAACGTTAAGAGGGAATTAAATGCTATAAAGTAAAGCATAAAGTTAATATTATGATACAGAGAATGTTAAATGAACGAATGGACAATATAACGGGAATCTCGAGCGCGTCTCGCCGACTGAAGGTCGCACTACTTCGCGGGAACAATAACATTCATACATACAATAACACACATACTATACATGTGTACGCAACTTCCGAGTGATTACAATCTTCGACGCGAAGGTATACGGATCGAGAAACGTCGCGCGCAATTCCCGATTTTTCCGAATTGATCGAAGCATGTGTGTGAGTTGAGATTTTTATCCCACTTTTGATTCAAATTTAACGTCTGTTTTGATACTCTGAAATCTAAATGAATCTCTTTTAATTTCATTTGATCTACTAACTTTGCTGGAAGCTCCTTTTTAGAACTTACAAATGGCATTTTGTGCATTGAGAGAAAAATATAGTTGTCTTTGGCGTCAACTATACTCTTTTACTATACTCTTTTGTGATTTTAACCACAAAAATAGTTAGAAAAACTATTATTTTAGTAAGTGTTATTAGAAAAATGGGTCTTCTAATTATTTTTTTTTTGTTAAAATCACAAAAAAGTATAGTTGACGCCGAAAGTAACTATATTTTTCTCTCAGTGTGGATTATGCCATTTAGAGGCGCTAAGTAAGACTTTAGTTTCTATGTATACTAAACATATATCGATCTTTTTGATGTTAGAAAGTAATTAAAAAGTTAAAAGTAGGGCTAAAATTGAGAGAGGGAGGGGGAGAGAGAGAGAGAGAGAGAGAGAGAGAGAGAGAGAGAGAGAGAGAGAGACTTGGGACGTTACATTATTTTGCGAGTGTGATCATCGTGTTAGGATTATTTTGAGCAGCATCCTGAAATACTAAGTGTGACTACTATTCTCCTTTTTCGTTAGTTACTAAGAGAAAAACGTGCAATTTCGAACCCCCGTATTACTGGTATGTTCACATCTTTTCATATAACTAATCAAGAAAGTTTCTTTTTGTTTTAGAACTTGCGGTCACACGATGGGTGCGGTTCCCGGGGGTGTAGTTTCTGTGGACGCGGATGCCGTACCGGAGGACCCGGTTCGGGTCGAGCAGGGTTGGCTCGAAGGTAGGTTTGCAGACTCCCCGGTACTCTTGTATTTGATGCTTTGCGATCGATAACTGCGACATCATCGTCGGAGTAAAGCTGATCGAGTCGCAACGAACGCAAAGAATTAACAAACTCGTATATCCGCGCATATTTTTCTCGTTGTGCCATTAATTCGTATCTAATCTGCAAAACTATACTTTTTTGTTCCAGATCTGTAGCGGAACACGGCTAGCTCTGAGTTCCTGGTTTTTCGGTGAGTCAGACAAATGAGAATGAAAAACGAACGGTGGTGAATATAAGATGGTGGGCGTTTGTAGAGTCTCGTCGAAATCAATGCAATTTACTTAGCTCGTAGCTTTTTGCACGTCGACTTTCGCATGTACTTGTTCATGTCATTCACCAAGATACACTGCTTGCGATAATCAGGGGATTACCTCTTTAAATGCTCGTATTATGCAACGGATATTTTAATCTCATTGAATATTTTTTTTATTGAAATATATCTAGTCTCCGTATTTCCTTTTAATGTTTCAAATTTTGACAAGCTTGTTTATGCAGGGTGTTATTGAAAAGTGAATCGAACAAATTTACAGATTTGTAGTATACGCATTAAACTGAATAGAAAGAAATGCTCAGTCAACATAGACCTATAACATTAAAGATTTCTTATTTAATTTAGTACATACTACAAATTTGTGTGTAAAGTTTTAAATCACCTTCC